GGGTGCTTTAGTGGGCCCATACTGAGTGAGGCATCATCAACCATATGACAGGCCTCATATTAAAGAGGATTTATTTGTGACCTGGGAAGGGGGCCTGGAGAAGGGAGTAGAGATAGAGAAAACAGACAGAAGACAGAAAGAGAAAGGAGAGAGAAAGAGGGCAAAAGGCCAACTGGGAACACATGGGGAGAGAGGAAGAAGATAGGGGGCAGAGAGGGAGGGAGGGGAGAGAGAGAGAGAGAGAGAGAGAGAGAGAGAGAGAGAGAGAGAGAGACCAGAACAGTCCTTATATGCCCAGCCCAGCCCAGCTCCTGGCTCCTACCTGGCCATTGCTAGGTAACTGTTGGTTGGAGCCTAGTGGAAATGCTAACAACTATTAGTCATCATTTTAAACCGCTTTCCAAAATTGGGATTCAAACGTTCAAGAATCATCAAGGACCATGGGCCAAAACCCAACTCCTCACTTAAGATTATCTAAAGCACACGGTAATGTGGGCCTCATCCCTACTCTAGAGCAGTGGGCCCTTGCCTCACCTCTGACATCACCCCAGACCTGTGTGAATCTCTTCCTTTCCATCCAGAGTTTCAACTCCAGTGACTTACCAATGTACATGTAAACGACAGAGCAATGAAACCACCAAACTGCACTGCTCCATGGGGGAGGAAAGGCTGATTGTAAATATGATAGGTACATGGCTGAGTCTCCAGTGGTAGAGAGGGAGTAGCCAGAAGTATCTAGAGAAGCCTATAGCCACCATGGTTACCTCTTGGGAACAGAGAGAGGAGCAGACTGGGGAATGCCAGGGGTATCTTTCAGGAGCAGAGAGAAAAGGGAAGCAGGGAAAACCTTGTGAAAAGTTATAAAGAAATGGTTGGGAAGCCTACAAACTGGAACTGCTTGGGAGCTAGCACCGTGGAGGAGAAGGGGAGCCTTTAGTATGCAAAATAGGTCGGGAGGCAGCCATCTTGCTCTTTTGCATTTTGCACTTCTTCCCAGGATCTATTCTTTTGGTCAAAATATGAAGTATTGGTACGGTTTGAGGGTGTTTTTTGTTTTTTTGGTGTGGGGGGGGGAACTCTTGGTGTGTGTGTGTATGTGTGTACACAGTGGACAGCAAATTGGATAACAGTTATATCTATCCTATTCCTTCCTCCCAATAGAAATAAAGCAAATCTTTACAAAAATAAACAAACAAACAAACAAACAAACAAAAAACAGGTCCATGTTCCTAGGAACTCAGATGCCCCATTCATCCAGGTATGAAGGGATAAAGAAAGAGATAAAGTTTCCTGGTTTCCCAGAAATGCCTCATGTGACCTTTTATCTATCCGCCAACAATCCTTGTGTGTTCAGCCTGAGCTGAGCTCAAACTGTCATAGTTAGCGGCACTGCTGCTTTGGAGGAGTTTGGACCTAACAATATATAATATACATCTCTCCTCCATAGCTACTGTGCAGGGGAGGGTCCCACTAGCTCCTGCCTTGAGACTCTCAGTCTCTAAACTGATCTGCTCTTGGCTGCCATTCAGGCAGACTGATGACAATATAGTCTGGGCTGCTGATAACCAAGGGGTCACCCCCCAACACAAGACCACCCATACCATTAAGACTTCCCTACCTTTTGAAACCAGACATTTCAATCTAGCAGGAGCTACGGTCCCAGACAAATCCTGCCTATACCCCCACTGATGAATTTTACTCTACAGGAAGCTATGGTTTCTTCCAGATGTTTTACATTAAGGTTGGGAAAGCTGTGTTTTTACTTGACTGAATCACAGCACTTGGCTGACATTTTTTGGCCTTTTATATGCTCTTCACAGTTGTCAGCTAATTGCAGATACTTCAAGAAAATAATATAGGATGTGTTTATTACGACAGACCCTGTTAGTGTGTCTGTAGTCAAAACATCACCGAAATTTCTTTTACCAAATCCTAGCTACATGTTAGGATTGGTTCAGAAATGTCAATAGAAACTTAGGAACTTACGTGAGCAGACGTGTCATGTACTTACTTGTTTGGGGAAATGGAAAGAGGACAGACCCAATAGCTCAGCTTAATTCTCGTGCTGTTTTGAAATCTTCAGTTGTGGATGATTAAGTGATCATGGAGACTTTCTGGAGGAAATCTGAGGAATTTTTCCAAAACATCAAAACACAGCTCTGTGTCGTCCGGATGCTGCTGTCTACTGAGGCATCCCTCTGAATTAGTTCCATCTCTTTAAATGTGGTCTGCTTGGAGACCTGTCCCTAAGAACGAGTAAAGTAACCCAAGAGGCCGGAGAGCCAACAAGAAGTATATGGTGGGAGTGAGAGGGTAGTCATCCTCCCTCTGGAGGTAGCGCCACCTGAGGAAGACAGTGTCTCATCCTAGGATGCTACTAAAGGCCTAAGTAGATGGACCACAGGATGAGGAAGCATGGAGAAGCCACATGCCTCTTTCTTAAATGGCTCCTCGGGGTTGTCCCTGCTGTCAAGTCAGACTGATGACACAGGGGATTAGGAGCTCAGGAACAGTAATGTGGAGACTTCTGATGCCAATAAAGATGCACAAGAGAGAGAGATGACATCCAGAACATTCCATGGTCACTGACATTGGGACAGGGGTTAGCAGGAATGAGACACTGAGGCCACAACTGTGTGGGATGAGGATGGTATCAGATTAAACTAAAGCTAGGGGGACCATCACCCAAGTGCAGAATCAAGATGATGCTAAGAACAAGTAGGGTCATGGGAAGACAGATTACAAAAATTCCATAAAGCTGTATTATAAGAAGGACTAAGAAAGAAATGAAAGAATGGAAGAATGGAAGAAAGAAAGAAAGAAAGAAAGAAAGAAAGAAAGAAAGAAAGAAAGAAAGAAAGAAAGAAAGGAAGGAAGGAAGGAAGGAAGGAAGGAAGCAAGCATTTTTAAACTAAGGGTTTGGGAAATGGCTCAGTTGGAAAAGTGCTTGCCTTCCAAGTCTGAAGACCTGAGTTCTAGCCTGAGAACACAAGTTTTTCTGTTTTTTTGTTTAAAAGGGTAGGTAATCTCAGCCCTAAGAAGACAAAGACTAGGAGAATGCTGGGGGCTAGTCAGCCAGTCTGGATGAGAAACTCAAAAAACAAGGTAGATATAACAGTAATATCCAGTGTGGTCCTTTGTTCTTCGCAACACACACACACACACACACACACACACACACACACACACACGCATGCACGCACACAAAGAGAAGGAATGAATGATTGAAAATAAAATGGACAAAGAAAGAAATGTTGCTTTTCTTTGGTGTTTCCTAACGCCATGCTCATGCCTACTGACATGCCTGAGAAGCTTTGACTGTCTCATCTGCTCTCCAGATAAAGATTTTCTTATGCTTGTTTGTTCATTTCCTTTTATGCTGCTGCTCTCTGAGGATGCCTAGATTTCTCCCTGGAATGGGTAAATATTGTCTCTTCTGAGAAACTGGTATGTTTTCATTCCACGGATTAAGATGTTCTCGAGTAGTCTTCTGCACTTACTGCTGGGAGGCAGGGAGCCAACGCCACTGCTCACAAGAGAGGAACCCCTCCCCACATCCCTGCTCACTCCTCTGCAGAGTCCATTCCCTGAATTGTAATTTATGGACTTTTGCATTTAATCATATATTGTGGTAGGTGGATTGTGTAAGTGTGAGCTGGAGCAAGCAGTTTGCCCACATAAGCATCCATACAGATAAATGCACATTCCCAGGTCTAAAAGACACGGAACAAGCAGTTTGCCCACATAAGCATCCATACAGATAAATTCCCAGGTCTAAAAGACACATCCCTCCTTCACAAACAGGATTTTATTAATTACATCACTTTAACAAATACCCTTTCATTCATTCAGAAATGGTACCTTTCAACTCTCTGAGCCATCTCTAATTTCATAGAGAATGAATCCTAACCATATTTGTTTAGCAGATTAATTCAGCAACCCTATTTGTTTAAAATTCTTAGTTGAAATGTTAGAGTCAGTACTGAACAGGGGATAGAGAGAGAAGCTTACATGTCCCTGATGGAGCCTTCATAGTCCTGAGCTCTCTTCCTCCTCCTCCTCCTCCTCCTCCTCCTCCTCCTCCTCCTCCTCCAGTCTGCATGACTCAGTGGAAGGATGCATTCCCATCTGAAGGAGGACAGGGTCCTCCTGAAGAGTAAGACAAGCATAAAACCTGCCGAGATCACCAAGTCAACTTCCCAGACCTTTTCTATGAAAGGAACTCTGAGCAGTGTGACCACCATGCCTGTGAGGAGGGGTCCATCCCACTGTCTCTCTGGCCATACCTGTGCCTCCTCCTCGTCTCTGCTGTTCCCCTTTTTGTGCCCCCATGTCCACTATGTTCCCTGCTTTCCCCAACTGTACCCCAGCTGACCCCACTGCTCTCCATGTAAGTCCCATTTGCAGCTGCCCTTTTAGGGGACCCTCAGCATAGTTTCCCCATACTGTCTTCCCATAAGCTCTCCGGTTTGTCCCCTGCCATTTGCCCCTTTAGCTTCGCTCCTGCCTAGCACAGGCCGTTGTTCATCATGTCACGTGAAAGTCACAGTTTGTTGTAAGGAACTGTCCTCCAAGACAAACTGCCGCCACCATCTGTCACAAGATCAACTCTGCCTTTGAGAATTCATCATGGTGGGCCCTATGGATTGTTGACATGTTCACATCTCCCCTAAGGGAGAAACTTTAGTGATAACATTTGTAATGCCATACTGAATCTCTTGGTTCAAAACAGGACTCCTGTATTATAGGTTCAATAAAAACCTACAATAAATACTGAAAGATCAGATGAATGGATGTGTCTCACAGCCATGTGGACACTCAGTACATCTGGCACAGCCTGGCTCACTAATTTGTGGCACTGACCGTGGTGTGTTACTCACCATTTCCCCTGCACTCTGATGTCCTTCAGCTCCTGTTTCTCATACCTGAGAGCACTGTCTTTAATTTTCTCTTCCAGAAAACAAACTGGTTATTGACTGTTTTATTTCCTCTCTACCCAGATTTTAAAGAAATCCTGCATCGAAATTCTAGCAGCTGAACCATCCACCATCTGCGCAGGAGGTAAGTTGAAATTGAGTGCTAATCTCTTTCATTCAGTTGATGGTATTTTGAGTTCAAATCTACATTTGTTTCATGGGGAAGAGAGTTAAAGGGGGACAAGAGGCAGGTTGTTGGGGAAAAAAATCAGACACTGTTAATTAAATCTGCTGTGGGGAAAGGAAGAGAAAGGAGAACATGTCAGTTGCTGAAAAGCCTGAACTTGATTCTTAAACCCCCCCTCTCATGGAATATGAGTGCAGGGCAAGCCTAGAAATCCTGGATTCCCATTCAGTGCAAGGCTGACCACCACACCACCCTGCCTGTGAGTAGAGCCCTACAGACAGCCTACAGATTACATGGAGGTTCATGGTGAGCCCTCGGCCTCCCCTGAAATGCTGTTCTTTAGTATTCTGTGTATATATACTTGTCTTAATTGTTCAATCTATCAGGCCTTACAAAGTAATGATATAGAATTTCAGGCCCATTACAATTTATCTTCAATGGAAAAAGTCTCTAGAGAGCAGCCTTTTAATGCTCTTTATATATATGTATATATAAAATGCATATGAGTGCTCTGTCTGCATATAGAGCTGGCATGCCAGAAGAGGGCATCAGATCCCATTACAGATGGTTGTGAGCCACCATGTGGTTGCTAGGAATTGAACTCAGGATCTCTAGAGAAGCAGCCAGTACTCTTAACCACCGAGCCATCTGTGCAGCCCCAAGAGCAGCCTTGTCTTTGAGTCACAATATCATCTCTGAGTGATGGAAACCTAGGTTTCACCCTGCTCTGAACTATAAGGCTTCGAGCACGAGCTTCTCTCATACATAGGCTTCTCCCCAGCCTTGTTTCACTCATTTAATAATCTTTTTAACCGGCTGAGGGCCTGGCATATTGCTGGGTGATGGAGACACAAGGATGGACTCGGTGGTCCCTGTCCCTCTGGGCCTTTTGCCATTCACTGTTCTGAGTCCCCTGTTGATGTGCTGTTGCTAGTCTCTGAACATCAAATGCTGGTCATTATCAACAGGAAATTTGTCACCCCACCCTGATGAGACAGTAGACCCAGCAGGAAGAGCTTGCTTATTTTACTGCTGTAATTGGGGGAGTTCTTGTTGATTTCTTTCTCAATTATTGATTGCATTTTAGAGAAATTGAAAATAGCCAAGGAGGTAGACACTAAGTCTATGGCAACATCACATAAAATACATACATACATCATACATACATACATACATACATACATATATACATGCATGTTAGCAAGACTCAATGCCTAACTCCATACTTACATGAATGCATGTGTGCACACATGAATGCACACACACACAAGTATACATACACATGTCTGTAAAGTTGTTAGCAAAATACGTGGTGACTATTCAGAAATATGTCTTAATTTTCCAAAGAAAAGCAATTTTTAAAAATCCCCTTCACATGTTCAAATAAATTGTTTGTAAACACAGATGTCAGAGATATGGGTTCACCACAGAGGTCGCTGCAGGAGAATGTTTTCCAGAAAAGCCTGGTATGGTGATGTGAATGTATAACCCCATCACTTGGGAGGCTGAGGCAGGAGGATGGAGAGTTCAAGGCCAGCCTGAGCTATACAGTGTACCTTGTAAGGGTGAAGCAGGTGGGCAGGAGAGACACTCAGGAATTAAGAGCACTTGCAAAGGACCCAGGTACCCAGCATCTACATGGTGATTCATAATCATCTGAAACTCTGAGGACATAAAGCATGCACATGGTGCACACACATACATACAGACAAAACACGTGCATGTAAAATGAGTAAATCAAAAAACACAGGGGAGGGAAACTTGACAAAAGATATGATCACAAAGCCATTCCAGGGCCTTGTAATGAGTCTGCACATGGTGGCGCCTAAACTGGATTAGACCTTATTAACTTCAAGGTCTGCGACCCCTGAGCTCCTAGGCAGAGAGTGGATTATTCAGAGTACTTGAACTTTGTGTATTGTGTGAATACAAAATGGTTTTTTATAATTCTGAACTTCAAAGTAATTAAAAGACAAGAGAGTCCCTTGATTGTGCAATTATCTCATGCAGGAAGAAACCCAGGCTTTGGCTTTGTGATCTTGGACGTGTAGTAAACTTGTGAGACATCAGAAAGCCTGCAGGGGATGGGCAGTTTCTAATTCTCAAGAATCCTTAATTTCTTCCCCTAAACACCAGGTCCCACTGCCTAGCAGAGTGCCCGACACTGAATAGGCCGTCAACAAAAGTCGATGCGTGTCTTCATTTATGTGTTCCTTCATAGCACAACGCCATAGACTCTCCTCTGTTTGCACCTTTTTAACTCCTTCTGTGCAACTGTACATGGTTCTTATCCTTTTTAACTGTTTAGTTAGAATGAAACACAATTAAAAAGCAGTAGCCATTTAGACAACAGAAAAAAGCCTTCCTTGATAATTCTAGATTCAATTAATTACTCAAAGTCTCCCTTACATGCCATTAAGGTGTTCAAGATGATTTTTAAAATTGTGTATATAAACTTCATGCATATGGCATAGAAGTACTGAGCCCACGAGGTCTGCCAGATCCTGTGGATAGGCTGTTTAGTTTGGGGTACTAGGCAGTGGATATGGAGGGGGATAACGTTCTTCCAGGACTACTATGAAGAGTAGAACTTTGGCTCAAATAGCCAGCTTCACATAAAGCAGGGTTAGGGAAAACCACTAGACACAGTACCTGTGTAGTAGAGTCTTTACAGATTGCCTCCAGGCTCAGAGGCTGCAAGCTGGCGGCCTGCAGGCTTTGAGAGACTCACACATGTGTTCTTTTCTGTTCACACTGCAGTTTTTAAAAATACAGTTGTTAGCATACTAAGACACCAATGCTCTTAAAGATTCCAACTTCCATACTGTCTTGGAAAGCCAGGTCTAGTGACAATGGAGCTATGTCTGCCCCATGGATAACCATTGTTGGGAGAGAGCAGCTTCCTTAAGAAATGCATGAATTCTTTCCATTCAACAGCCCCTTTCCGTTCCATGCCGTCAGCCCCAACTCAGACCAATATGTGGGGCCACTCACCGTGCTGCTTTGTCTTGATCCAGTCCCTATTCCAAAGCACACAGCGGTTACCTACTGAGTGGCAGCCTTGACACCTTTCCTCAAACAACTTTGCTCCCTCTCAACATGGATGCCTTTAAAAGTTCTTATTAAACATTCTTGCATGTCAGGCTCTGTGGAATTAGGAAAGGCTATCCATCGAAAGGCTGGCTCCACCTAACTGAGCTCCTGCCTAGCACACCCTATGCTGAGCTCAGTAGGCCTTGGGCTCAGAGTTCACCACAGACTCCCATGAGCAACGACTACAGGAGAGAACTGATTGGAATCGGGGCTGGTCTCACTTGGAGTCCTTACCAGCACTTCCAGAAAGGATATCACACTCAGCCTCTCACAGGGTCACTTCAGAGGCAGTTGTAGCATCCCACTGTCCCCCACAGCTTCTCACGAGGCAGGGGAGGTTACTCCAAAGCAAAGTATTTACACCTTCACATTTGCTATTGGAATTGAGAGGCATGAAATAGACTCGACTCAGGCAAAGTCAGATGAAGGCTTCATTTCTTGACCTTCTCAGTGTTTCGCAGAGCACTCCTGCCTGACACTAGACTCTCTTCTGAGTGAATGTTTCATGATCTTCTAGACACACACACACACACACACACACACACATCCCCTTCCAATCAATATTTCTGATTGGAAGAAGAACTCTCATACACTGTCAACGAGAATGCAAAGTGGGAAGGCACAGTGGAAAACAATTTTTAAAAGGTTTTTTATTCAATGTACATGAGTATTGCATGTATACCTATATGCCATGTATACCTATATGCCATGTATACCTATATGCCAGAAGAGGGCATCAGATCCCATTACAGATGGTTGCAGGCCACCATGTGGTTGCTGGGAACTGAACTCAGGTCCTCTGGAAGAACAGCTAGTGCTTTTAACTGATGAACCATCTCTTCAGCCCTGAAAACAACTTCTTACAATAATTAAACATATGCAGATTGAATGGGTCAGCCTTGCCAGCCCTAGACATTTGCCCAAGATAAAAAGGAAAATGAAATCTATGACCAGACAAATGAACAGACAGTTGCTCATACTAGCTGTTGTTAATAGACTCAAAGCTATAAACCACTCATATATTCATAAGCAAGTGAATGTACAGAAACAATTTGATTTTTCTGTATGTTGGAATAATACTGAGCCCTGAAACAAACTCTGTGTAAACCTCAAAGTAATCACAGGTGAGTCTTAATTACACTAACAAAGAAGCCGAACATAATATAGAACACTGATATAGAAGTCATTTTATAGGGGTTTCAGCCCCACTCTAGCCCATGTAGTGCTCAAATAAAAGACACAGAGACACTGTATTCTATTGAGTAGCTGTGGGTCTATGCTGGTTCTGAGCTATTTTAACCTACATCCCAGCAGTATTATTTGCCAACTGAGTCTCGCTCTGCTTGCTCTGCTCCACGTGTGTTCTCAGAGCGATTTTCTCTTGGCCACATGCTCATGGTCCATCCTCATGGTCCATCCTGCTTCATGACGACCTCCCTCTACCTCTATCTTTTACCTTCCCTTCGTGGTCCCTACCTGAGACCCCCTGCTCCATCTCAAGTTCTGCCTGAAACAGGTGATACTTCGAAAATCCGCAGCACGGACTGGCTATCTAATTGGCAGGGTGGCTCTGCTTAGCTCTCGTCGCCATGTTCCACACTAGAAGCAGCCAGAAGCCATGTGCACCACAGCTAGAAGTGGCCAGAGGCCAAGCATGCCACAACTAGACCTACGAGACGCCAGCGTGAGGGATGGCTCTGCCGATCCACCACGCTGCATCCACAAAGCTAGGCTGAACCCCAGACAATATCCACCACCCTTGCGGTACCCAGTAGAATGAAGGCTATTAATGCTTAAAGATTGTCCAATGGATTTATATATTTGGAAATGCTCAATTAACAAGATGCCAACACAATTAAAATTGATAGCCAATATCTAACCTTTTGATAAGTAGCTACCCAGGACTGCTCTCGAACCATCCACCTTCCTCCATGGTTGCTAGCCTCCTTCCTTTCACTGTCCCTTCCTCCCTTTCCTTCCTCCCAATTCCTCACTCCGCCTACCTTTCATACTGCCCAATCACCGAGCTCCACTGCATATACAATGTAGCAGCTGCAGGAAATTATCTTGCTATATCCTCCTTCCTCTCTCTCCTGCCCAATCACTGGCTTTAGTCTTTTACTACCCAGAGATTACTGTGGAGTATTCTTTACAACACATTGGTCAATACAATGCCCATGTCCACATTGCAACCTGATCTTAGAGAACAGAACTCAGCATCTGAATACAACACAGAACTCTAAATACACAGTGCACAAGACCAACCCCAACAAAAGGATGCTTCCTTGGAAAGCAGACCAGTGGTTTCTGGAAGAGAAGGAAGAACAGAATACAGGTGTTAAAGGCAACAGAGGGAAACATTGATGGTTAGAAAGAGGTCACCATCCTGTCTACTGTCAAGTGTGTCTCACGTCAAATCCTACCTTTCCCATGGGTACTAGCATATGCCAGTTATGTCTCACAGAAGTTGTTATAAAATCGAAGCATTCTAATATATGTTACAAGGTGCGATAAGCATTTATTAGGAGAGAAAACTGGAAATGACCTACAGAATGATATAGCCCTGACCGTAGTCAGACACAGCAGTATTGAGTGAGCAGAGCAAGAAGAAAATATGCAAATGTCCAGAGAATGAGAGGAAGTCATTCCAAAACTATACATTGTAATTTTTTTTTTTTTTTTAGTTTTTCGAGACAGGGTTTCTCTGTTAGTCCTGGCTGTCCTGGAACTCACTCTGTAGACCAGGCTGGCCTCGAACTCAGAAATCCACCTGCCTCTGTCTCCCAAGTGCTGGGATTAAAGGCTTGCGCCACCACTGCCTGGCTGTAATTTTTTTTAAAAAGGAAAAAAAATAAAGAAGAAAAGGAAAGCGTATAGAGTAAGTTTGCTGGTCTCCTTGGTTTTTGCTCTGTTTAATTCACAAACTATGAAATTTTCCCTTGATCTTTTTAACCTATCAGTCTTGTTGGCCACAGCAGCTACCTAATTCCATAATGCTTTCCTCATCCAGAGAGAAACTATGTACCTAGTCAGTAGTCACTTCCCACCCCACCCACCCAGGAAGCCACTAAGGCTTCCTGTCTCTGACTTGGCTAAGTTGGGTGTTTTACATGAATGATATCCTGCCATGCACGGCCTTTTGCATCTGATTTCTCTTTAGCATAGCGTTCCTAAGGCTTCCGTGTCACAGTGTGCATTAGAACCTGGTCTCTTTTGGTGGTTAGGTAATATTCTATTAGGTAGAGAAGCTTATTCATCAGTTAATGGACATCCATTGTTGTAGGCTCCTATGAAGATGCCATTGTGAGTTCTTGTACATGTTTTTATTTGTGTTCTGAAATGATTAATAATGGTGAACATATTTTCATTTGTTAACCTCAGAAAATACAGAAATTAAACCAGTCTGGGACCTGAAAACACGAGCACCTGGCTTTTTCCCCTCTTGGTCTTTCTTTCATCCAATGAGCTTACATGGAGACAAACCACCCCAGGTCAGACACAAACAAGCATCCAGAAGAAACAGAAACGCTAGCTTCTGCTATTAAGAACCTTATATTACCATTAGGGATAAAAATTACAAAAGGATCCTTATGAACTTATATGTCTTGAGGATACATTCCTTAAAGGATAAATGTCACCAAAGATCAAATTAAAGATCACTACACATAGACAATTCTACCCTGAAAGCCCACAATCCACCCTGACACTTCCTGAAGGAGTTGGGCTCTTACAGAAGGCCCTGTGTGCACGTTTCCTGTAAGCACTGAACTGTGAAGGGCAGAGGTAGGGTTCTGAGGACCAGGAGCATTAGAGTGGGATGTCCTGGGTGAAGGGTATCCTGGTTCCTCCTTGCTACAGATTCATCACACAGAGTTGGATTATATAACTTCTTTGTACAAGGATCTGACATCCCAGTAGGGCTGCTGGGTCAGATGTTTGAGCTGTTCTGGAAGCCAAATGTGTGCACTGACATGGAAATCGTGCCAGGCAGGGTAAGAGCCCGCCTCTCGCTCTAACTCTTCTCCCCAGGCCTAAGTGGTTGCATGGTTTGGTTCCCATCATAGGTCCCTGCTGTCTTCCTTCCTCAACTCCCTGAAGCTGGGCCAACCAGACATGTGGGGACCTTCTTTTATAGAGGCCTCAACAGCTGAACCAGCAGTGCTGAACATGGTGTTAGAGAAGAGAGCTTGGCACTCAGCCTGTTTCCAGCATCTCCTCTCCCTTTGCTGATCTGTGAGGAAACAAGAGGGAGGCCAAAGGCAAAGCAGAAAACATGCAGAATCAGCAGAAGCGTCAACCAGATGTCTATATGTCTGCCACTCAAACCAGAAACACAAGATAGCTTTCTCCTAGCTGCCTTGAGGAAATAAGATGCAGAAAGAGTCTACCGCCCACTGAACCAGATGTTCACCAATGCACCAGGGTGGGGAGCAGCTAAAGTTTTAAACCCACTTTTCTAAACTTAGTAATTGCATGACCCAGCAATCAACATGCATGTATAAATCCTTACTGCTTCTGACTGCAGTCCTGAAAAACTGTATCAGTTAATAAAGTTCCGAACCAAGGCTCTGACCCTGAGGATGAGTCCAGCTTTACTAGTTCTGGGCAAATCATCGAAGGACAAAACTTTAATCCCCTTGCCCTCTGGTCTCCATTCCTCTGATTCCTCCTTTCTCCTCTTATTTGCAATGTCAACCATCCATGCCTCTGGCCTCCTCACACCTAGTCCCTGGCTCATGTATAGATCATGACAAATGAGCCCACCTGTCCAAAATTAGGATTACCAGATGGTCTTAGGATGGTGGATGAAGGCTAAGTGAGAGGCTTGGCTGCCCTGGATTCCAAATCAGGTCTGGGGTCTTTTTAATCTGTGTGCTCTTGGGTGATTACATAGTATCTATGAGATCACTTTCTCAGCTGCACCCCCTGGCCTGTGGGGACATGGTAACGACATCAGATCCACACAATGCTCATCATTGGGCTGGCACAGTGAGGGGCCATTAGCTATCAGTTATTGCCTTGGCAAACAAGATCTCTGAGTTTTCTTGGAATGAATGTGACATAAGCTCATGACATTTAACTTTGAAAGAGTCACCTATGCCAGCTCCTTAACACATTCTCCCTCCGAAAGTCTCTCTCCTTGGGTAGCAGCTTACTTCAGAAACACTTTCAAAATTGCCGCAGTTTTCTTCTGACTCTGCGCTGTCTCTGTATATTGCTAAAGCATTATTCCAAACCCCAATTTTCATTTATACACAGGCCATCAAGACAAAGGCGAGTGAGATCTGGGCAGATGGCTTGATTGATAAAGTGCTTAGCACCTGGATCTGAGTTCAATCCCCAGAACACGGGTTCGAGAAAAGACAACTCTTAAAGCCATCCTGGTGGTACACGTGTGTAACTTTAGCATTAGGAAGACACAGGCAGCTGGGGTTCACTGACCCTCCAGCCCAGCTTGCTTGGCAATCAGAAAGTCAGGGAGAGACCCTGCTTCAAAAGGCAAGGAGGACTGCTCCTGAGGAACAGTGGCTAAGGTTGTCCTCTGGCTTCTAGATGCAGGTGCACAGACACACAGAAATAAGTAAATAAATAAACAGAATCAATTGCTTGATATCTAGTATAAACAGGTATTCTTAAGCATGTCACTAACTGGCTGCTTTCCTTGATAGGACAATATTATAAAGAGATTTTTAACCTGTAACAATCAATGTCAGTCATACATGTTACTAACTGGATACACACTCTACCAGTGTGAAATTGATATGCGAGCCCATGAGGTTTCTTCTAGTCATAGAGAAATGGTCCTGCACTGAAGGCCCAATGCCCCTTCAAGCAGGTAGTGCTTGACACCTGACCTCCACAGAGTTCAGTAGCTTCATACAGTGACTCCTACACAAGACAGCTGTGTCCCCAGGAGAGAGGAGAGGTGCAGAAGCATCATACAACTGCTGACCTCAAGGAATACTTTTCTGGTTGGGGGAGAGAGACAAAAGAATATGACCAGACACTACATAACTGTGTGCCCAACAAAGGTTTAAGTGCAGGTTCTGATGTGCCAGGGACTGTAGTTTCTAAAGCTGATGAGACATCTGGGGTCTAAGTAAAGTCTCTCAAGAGATTCCAAAATGTAAATTGGATTGAAGGAGGGATGTTGGAGAGGAAGTAAAGGACCCTTCCCTCGTTCCCCTCTGGTTGTTTTAGAATTGTCTAGACTTGAAAAGTGGGTAAGATTTGAATAGAGAAGAGGTGAGAGGAGGGGGCATTGGAGGCAGGAGCTAAAGTAGGGATGGCGCTTCTGAGCAGGAAGCTCTATGCCTTCCTTGAGAACATCGGGGAGGAGGGGTCAGTGGGTGGAGCAAAGCCTTCCTGTTGCTTTTGTTCTCCTATCTGATCTGATGTCTGGATTGTGAAGCTTCTTGAAGTCACAGCCAGGGGCTCTGTGGTGGACAGAAAGCGAGTTTACAGGTGATGGTCATGTAATGTGTGCTGCTGTTCCTCATTTCAGAGTCCTTTCAAGTGGTTGTAAGAGGAAATGGCTTCCGACATGCCCGCAATGTGGACAGGGTCCTCTGCAGCTTCAAAATCAATGATTCAGTCACACTCAGTAAGTACTGGTGTCACACTGGTGTGGGGGTGGAGGGACTTGCCAGCAAAGCCGTTATATGACACTGTGGTGGATGGGATGGGAAGTTTGCCAGTACAGCCTCTTACAGGGGCCTTCAGAGAACTGTTCAGTGCTAATGAGGCCTCCAGGGGGAAGTAGCTGGTCCTATTGATGTTCTTGGTTCTGACCTGAGTCTGGACCCCCTCCTGGGTTGGTACAATCCAAGGATGCCCAAGTAGGGGATCAGGATGAGGCTTGGCATGAGTTTTCAGTGTTCATTGCATACCCCCCAGCACTGAACCAGCCCTAAGGAGGCAGTGAGTGCCTGCTTCCTTCCTATGGTCTTAGGTCCTTCACTACCTGTTCATGCCCTGCTTATTTCGGGCCTGTGAAGCTCAAGGCTTCTCAACAAAGCACTGGAGACTCTAGAATGGAAACAAGATGGTCTAAACAGATTAATCCCGAATAAAGCAAAAAGCAGAATACTAGACTCGCATGTGTGGACTCTGGGACTTTTTCAATCTGGAAGATTCTTGCTGGGAGTAGCCAAGAAACTCTCACTGTGGTGAATTCCTCACATAAAATCAGGAATATGGAAGTAAAACTAAGCGCATCTCACGAGGGAAAACAGACTGTCATAACAATGGAACCTTTGCAGCAGGCAAGATCTGAGTTTAAAGACGTGACTCAGTGGCTGTCCAGGAGAGATGGGAGGTCTGGCTCGAGAAGGGCAGATGCCGGGAGCCTGGTTATTATTTGCACCTGGTGTCCATCACAGGGACAATTCCTGGCTCCCGTTTCCAGTGATAAACAACAGCCACACTGGGCTGTATTTTCCATCACACTGGGCGCTCCTGTGCTTCATCCTTTCTGCTTGACAGCCCAGAGGTGTAGGAGGGAAGGAAGGCAGACCCCACCCACAGGCAGCTCGCCACCCACTTTGGCTCTTCTCCATGTAACCCCAGAAGACAGGGGGTCTTAAGCTGTTTTTAAGTTAGGAAAATCGAAGGACACACCTTTTTTTCTCTCCTTGACACCTTGAAACTCTCTTGATTGTTTAAACACAAGCAGCGGCTTCCTCATAGACATCTGGAATTTCTAGCTTGGGCTAATATCAAACATTGAAAGCATTCAGTTAGTTTTATTAAAAACTGGGACTGCTCTTGTGTGTCCAAAATACGTGTGCTGTTTAAAACCATTTTTCATTGTCCACAATGTAGAAGCTGCTACCAAAGTCACTATAAATCCCCTTCCCTCTGAGCCCAATCCCAAGAAAAGGCAGAAACTCGGAAGATTTGATTTTCATCCCAGAACAGTGAGCTTTTGAACTGGTCTTCTGTGAGGGCAAACCATAGGGGGTAGGAGGTCATGTTAGGAGGGGACAGGACAGGACAGACCAACACTTGCCAGTTGATCTATGAACTCTGATTTCCTATTTCTTCCTTTCCTGGTATGCACTCGGGCGCCACCTGTGGCCAGCCCTCCACTTATTCACTCAGAGAAATACAGGCCACTGGAGTGGGGAAGCACCTTGAACAGCAAACTCAACCCACTTCCAGCACAGCCTGGAGGGCTGCAGAAGACAGAGAGAGGGACTCGATCTCACAGGGAATTTGCTTGTCACACAGCAAAACCGTGATGCCAGAGGTGAAAAGCAAAAGCATGTCACCTTAACATAGTGACACACATCTCCAAATACAAATTTAAACTCAGTGTCATTCTAAATACTAAATCACGATGAAAGGCATTCACTTTAAAGTTAGAAAGGAAATATCGAGGCATTCCATCTTACTCCTCTGTAATGGCAACCTGATGGTTCTAGCATGGCCATCTTGCAAATGGTAGAAATGTTCTAGAAAGCCAGCCAGTGTGGTCCCCACATGTGGCAGGTGGCTGTTGGTACTTGAAACCTGGCTGTGTGATTAAGAAACTCAAGATTAATTTCACTTGGTTTTATTTAAGTGTTCATAGCTGCACATGGCCATCTCTGCAACATTAGACAGTGCCATAACATCACTAAAGATACAAGAGAACTGAAGACAGCATCAGCACCTTCAAATACTTTGGAATGATCTTTCCTTCCTAGGAACTAGAGTCACTAGTTTCTGCTAGACAATGTTGCTAGACTACAAGAGGGCTGTTACACGATGTTTCACAATTAGTCCCTCCCTTATTTTTTTCTAATTCTCAGGAACTTTTTTTTTAGCTAACATACAATTAATGTGTTTTATTGTGACATTTTATTTATCATTGTTCTCTTCTGTGTTCACCCCTACCACTACCCCCAGCTATAAAACCTCAACTTTTACCCAGAATACCTTTGCCCAAAATTCAACGGCAACCATTAGAAAATAGTCCAGGGAGTGGGAGGGATGGCTCAGAAGTTAAGAGCACCATCTGCAATTCCAGAGGACCTGAGTTCAGTTCCCAGCACCCACATCAGGCAGCTCACAACTGTCAAATCCACACAGACACAGACACACACACAGACACAAACACACAGACACACACACATAAAATAAATAAAATCTTTTAAAAAATATTCTGGGAAAAATGTAATGACAAACAAAATCTATTGAGAACAACTTATAAAGTCATATTAGAGTCATAAGAAAAACCCTTATGGGGATATAAAGAAAGTGAGAATCGATACATGGTCTAGACCCCAGGCATAATGCCCTGTCTGGAGAAGGTTACCTGCCCTCCAGCTGTTACTGTAACATGTTATGCAACATTCTGTGCTTTGGTTTTAATCTGTGAAGAGCTTGTGACAGTAGCGACTATGTCATATAGGTCGTTGAGAGGCTTAGTGTGGTGGGTGGGACTCACACATGGCCACAAACAGCTGCTCACTCCTGGCTACAGGTGGTACTTCAGTAGTACCCATGGCTATGTCACTGTCACTAAACAGAGAAGTAACAGAGCATTGTAAAGATGTTACTTGCTTTAAATTTAATATTTATTTTTAGTACAACCCCAGTGGTAATTCCCATGGAAACTTTTAAGTTAGCACAATAATTTTAAACTTTATATGGAAGAATAAACTGTAAGACTGGCCAAGTTGAAATGCAGAGACCTGACTAGGCTGACTTTAGAATGGACCAAAAAAAAAATCATTCAAATAGTGTGTGACTGGTATAATGGGCAAACAGCAATAACACTGAGTTCCAAACAGAGCCAAACTTCACTATGAACTTAGTGTTAAATTAAGTGATGATTTAGATCAGCAGTGCTGCCACAGCTGGCTAACTGCTTAGAGAAATGATTATAGTTGATTTTTATCTTGCACTTTACAGTTAAACAAATTCCAGATGTTTAATGTGAACATGAAAATATAAAATTTCTAGAAAAGTAAATGTTTGCATAATTATCCAGTAGATAAAAACATTGAACTAAAAAAGGACTAAGCTCTAAGGAGAAAAAGTTGATGGTGTAAGCACATGTTTTTAAATTCTCTTCTTACCAGCCTGAACAAAAATAAAAAGGAAAAAAAATAAGGAAAAATATTTATAATATATATAATACAGGGCCAAAAGGTTGACAACCAGAGTTTAAGAGAGGAGAGATCCCACAGAGGAGAGAGAGAACTGAGTCCTCAGTGCCTGTCTCATGTCCACACATGTGCACACAAATAATAAAACTGTTTCCAGAAGTAAAAAGAACAGATGAAAAGGGAACTTACAAGAAAACCAATGCTCACTAATCCCAGAGAGAGTACCCAGTGTGGCCACGGACATGCAAGAGGAGACAATCAGCTCTCTTTCATTTTCCTTTGGTTTTGTTCTTGACACAAGTTCCCATGTAGCTCAAGCTGACCTCCAACATGCCATATAGCTGAGGACTTCCTTGAATTCCTATTCCTTCAGCCTCTCCAGTACTGTGATTGCAGGCCTACACCACCACATCCAGCTCCAATTGCTGACTTTGCTATAGCAAACCTGGGAAAAAGGAACAAAACCTCAGTGCTCAGGATTGGCAAAGATGTAGATGAACAACGTTTTCATGTATGATCAGTAAGACACCATTAGACGTCTTAGAAGGCAGTACTGAAAATGACCCTACTGTTTTAACACATTTATGAAGTAGAGCTGGGTTTAATAAGAATATCTTCAGATAGACGAAAGCAGGAGAGTCGAGAGAAAGAGAAAGTGAGACGTACGGAAGCATGGGTGTGGGCTTCTCTGAGAAAAGTCTCAGAGAGTGAGATTAAGATGGGAGAAAACGTTACCATTCATAGCAGTAGCAAAGTCACAGTTACAAAGTAGCAACGAAAATAATTTTATGGTTGGGGGTCACCACCACATGAAGAACTGTATTAAGGGAATGCAGTACTAGGAAGGTTGAGAGACCCTGGTCAACAGAGACATGGTAACATGGTGCTTATTGTGCTGCTTCTCATGACAGTAAAGGAAGAAAAGAAGAGAGCCAGGGAACATTTAAAGAACAGCATAAATGTTTCTTGGTGGATGAGCCACATTCAAAACACAAGTCACCCTTCATAATTCCTAATATTGTAGGAGACTGTTGTGGGAATGTTACATCCTATGTTAAAACAAAGTTACAAGCAGTACATAAAAGCCATGTTTGCACAGGTTTTCTTCACACACAGTCATGAGCAAACTTGAAACACACACCTTGAAATGTTGGCAGCAGCCACCCCCTGCATAAGACTACAGTAAATTTATATTTTCTTCTTCCTGTCTTTTTTTTCTAAGATTTCTATAAATACACTTGTCCTATTAGAAAAGAACTCACTGAAGTTATTAAGCTTAATTTAAATTTTTTATAATTATTTATGCCTAGCATACATATTAAACTTGGTTGACTTTCTAATCACCAGGCTGAAGTCCCTTCTGGCCAAGAACATACCTTGCAAGTACTGCAAATGTTATCGGTTTATCCTGGCACATTCTTTGACTTCAGTATTTAGTGTTCTGTGCCAAAGGAAGGGCTGCTTCCAATTGGAAACCCACTTGCTTAGAGATTCGTATGCTGAAATG